TTTTTTTAAATTTGACCAGAGAGAGACAGAGGGTGAGAGTGAGAAAGAGAGGAAGTGAGAAAACAAGCCACCAGATTCAGGACTCGAACCCTGGTCAGCCATGTGGGAGTGTCCAGCACCTTTCTACCACACCACCTGCTGGTCCCAAGTCTCTTTCTTTTTTAACTGAGGACATTTTTTGACCAAACTGAAGATAAATGCCATTGTGAGTTATAACAGTGAATCAAAAAAGAAAATCTTCTGGAGACTTTTGAGCTAATTTTATTATGAGCTATTTAAGTTGTAAAGCAGTTTCTTAACAGTTGCCTATTTTTATCTGACAGTGTCCATGTAACTTCACTGAAGAAACATACAAGGTGATGATCTATGTCTGTCTAGTTCTAGGACTTAGTATATCTAGCTTGGCTGAATAACTTTTTTTTCTTTTAACCAATAAGCAGAAGCTTTCATATGCTAAAATATTGCTCTGTGTAGACTGCCTGTATTGGTAGCTTATGTTTTGAATTTACAGCATTATAGTGTGCTGCATATTACTTGGTTTATATTGTATATGATAACAAAACAATAAGCTCTGCTTTAAAAATCTCTTGAATTATTTCTTCCCTGATTTTTTTTTTTTGCTTTTACTCATACCTGGCATCTTTCTCGTTGTACTGTATTCACTATATCTAACGTGATAGTTTTGCTTTTGTTTGTATTTGACATAAGGAATGTCGAATCATTCTAGCAGTTTCAAAAGCATCAAGAATAAAAAATAAAGATATTGCTGAAATTCTCAGGACAGTGCCAGAAAGATGAATCATTTCAAACTGCACGAGTAGAAATATGCTTACTTGAAGATTCCACATATCTTTACCAGAAGCCAAAATGTGTTCTTTTCAAAATTATTTCCCTCTCTTTTTTTCAGCTTCTTTGCCCATTATTGGTAAAAAGCACTATTATAGTGTATTATAAATTATGGAATATACTGCTGAATTTAAGAGTCCTGAAGTTTCATTTGGTTACTTGGAAATATTTAGACTACGTGTTTTTAGCATCAAGATTATATTATTTTCTCCTTCTCTCCTTTTAAGGGTATTTTATATGTAGTTCACTTCTGAATGTTATTTATTTATTCATTCTATAAATATTTGTTCACTACAGGATGTCTACTAGATGTTGTGGGCTTTATAGGGCTTTAAATACCATCTCTGCCTTCAAGAAATTTGTCCTAATTCTTATAGATTATGTGTAGTGTATGTGTGTGTGTGTGTGTGTGTGTGTGTGTAATATAAATCAATGCAAAGTAGACTTATGCATAATGGTAAGTGTGACTAAAGGAGTTGAGAGAAGAAAGATTTCCAGAGCTGCCTGAAATGGAAATGGGCAGGTAGGACAATGAACCAAACTGAAAGCAACAATCAAACCTTTATTGATTTATTGTGATAATACAAGCAAAAGACCACAAGGAAGGTGCCCAGCTCCCTCGGTATTCCATTTCCTCCAACATAAAGGCAGTGATCAAGTGAATCAGCATAGATCGCAGGTGAAGGATCCTCTTATTGCTAGAAAATCTCAAACAAAAAGACTTTTACTGTTGTAGGGACCTGAAGGCCAAGAGTGGGGAGAAATGGGAAGGTTAAAAGTAGAAAACAAAGTAAGTAGAGTGGAACACAGTATTTTCAGACCCCTGTTCCCCACCCCCTGCCCTTTAGCAGGTCTCTGTGGAAGTACTTGAAAAATATCTCAGCCTAGGGCCTCTCTTTGGTAAAGGATCCTCTGAGAGGAGGTGCATAATCTCAGAGCGCAGGCACATATATGAGTGTGATGTGGGGAGAGGGGTGGAATTGCAGCTCCCTCTACAAACTGCAGTGTGCCAGCCATATGCCAAGTTTGGCATGAGGAGGACAGCCACCCCACCCTGTACTACCACCCAGTTTCTTCAAAGCCTGCCAGATAAAGCCTTTGTAATTGCCTGTGGTTGAGCCTGATAGATCACATATAGGATTTTGACCTTATGCTGGACCCCTTGCAAGAGTTAGTTAGCCTGATCGGATCTGGGAGACCTACATTAAAGAAATAGTATTGGGAACCAGCAGTTAGCGTAATGGCTATGTTGCTGGACTCCCACATAGTCGACCGCAGTTCGTGTCCCGGACCTGGTGGCTTAGAACTCACGCCAGGCGCATGTGCGTGCATGCCCAAGATCCCGAGAGGAGAAGGGATTGCGGCGTGACCATCCCCCTGGGGGGTGATTTCTCGCTTTCTGTCTCTATGTCTCTGTCTGTCTGGCGAGCGCACGCCCCCTATAGCGGAAAAACCGCTCCCCCCCTCCCCCCAAAAAAGAAAGAAATAGTATTTGGGTTGGTCCTTGAGGAAGTTGAAGAATGTGTGGTATTTGGCTTTTCACTGAGAGGGGGAGTGACAAGTGGAAAGGCAGTAAAGCAGATTATGTGTATTCAAACACTGGCTGGTACATTTAGCTGTATAATGCTCTCTAGGGGTGAATGGGTAGAAAGGCAGATTGGAACCCAATCAAGAACCTGAAATGGCAGGCAAGCTAATTTGTTTATAGATAGAATGGAAGTCCATGAAAACTTTAAGGAGGGGAGCCAGAGCTAAGTTGATTGTGAAATTGTGAATAAGATGAATTGGGTAGCAAAGACATCATTTGGGAAACTGGTAAAACAGTTATTGTGGCCAAGGTGTTTATAAAAGAAGCTGGGTGAGGGGTAGGATGGGTGGAGATCATGTTTGACATAAAACAAAAATAGCAGTTACACTTCTTGCAAAGATATGCTTAGTGTAAGAAGACTGGAATACTTCAGTGGAATAGTTCTAAATTAAACTACTATTCTCAATAGTTTTGTCTGTTTTTCTTTTCTCCATGCTTCCCTTTATTTCCTTACTACTGGTAAGTTATACATTTTTTTACTTAAAAAACTATTTTCCTAATTATCAAAAGAGCTCTTATCACGTTTCAAGGTAGTATGAGGTAAACATTTTCTAAGATGTTCCTTGCTGTTTATTGTCCTGAATTACCTGGGAAATATTTTTTAAATGCATGTTTTTCTCTCAGCAGACATTCTGGCTTGCAAACTGAGGAGGTCAACTGTCATTTTATTTTGAAAAAGTTCCTGATGATTCTGATTCTGTTGCACCTTCTCAGTTGACACCCACTGATTATTATTAAAGGATCCAAAGACTGTGGTTTTTAATCCAATTTAGGACTATGATTGATTCAGAAAGGTATAGGTGGTCCTTGGATGACATCACATGTTCTATTTTTTTCAGCTGAGCTCATTAATGTTAGTTATTGAACACTTACTGTGTACTGAGGATACAGAGATGAAATGTGTTTCCTTGCAAATCATTTCCTCCTTCAACTCCTCAACAGCCAAATTACAAACTTGTCATGGCAAACAAGTACTGAGGATGCTGTATGATAGATTTTGTAAGAACATTGTTTTCACTCTCACTCTTTTCATCTTTGCCACTTGTGGGGAGTGGTTTGATTTTGTTGTTGTTTCTCAGTGTTTTCCAGCCCAGCAGAGCTGCAAAATCTTAAAATTCTTTTTTGTTGTTTTTAAGTTTGCCAGAGGGTGCATGCACTTGCCAGAGAAAGAGAGACAGAAAGAGGAAGGAAGGAAGATAGAATGGAAGTCCATGAAAACACCTTCCCATGGAGCATAGTCATGCTGCAGTCCCTTCTAAAGTTCTCCATTCTGTTGAGATTTGAGACATGCACACACATGTGCCTAGCATATTTCTCAAGCCACTGGGTTTGGGACTTGAACGGTGTGGTCAGCCATGTGAGATCTGACTGCTTTAACCACAGAGCTGGCCCTTGAAATTTTTAGTTAAAAACATATATTTGTCAAGCCTGTCTCCCAGTGTTCTGTAGTCATTCAGTAGTCTATGGGAAGGCCTGGTAATTTGCATTTTTAAGAAGTCCCCCAGGTAGTTTTGATGTGGAGCCATGTTTGAGAACCACTGGTTAGACTCACCCTAATTAGTCTAACCTCTCATTATAACATTCAGCCTAACCTCTCATCTTCTTTCCTTATATTTTTGCCTAGTTACCCATGATAAAATCTCTTTGACTTTTTTTTGCATCTCTCAAATGAAAAACAGTCATAGTCCTAATAAGAGTAAGGAGAGTATTAGCAAATTGAAAATCACTGGGGTTTGAAGTGAAGTTAGATATAATAAACAGCTAGTAGTCTGAAGTTATTGTGTCCCATCTTCTTTCTCTAGTTAAATAATGACTTTTCGGGGCTGGCAGGTGGTGTGGTGGTTAAAGGTGCTGGATTCCCACATGACTGACCATGGTTCGAGTCTTAGACCTGGAAACTTGCTTTCTCACTTTCTTTTTCTCTGTCCCTCTGTGGTCAAATTGAAATAAATAAATAAATAAAGTTAAAGAAGATAATTATATAAAAAAAATACTTTTCTATAAATACTGCCATTTAAGATTAAAACTATGTTTATTTCTGAGTAATAAGCAATATTTTAAAAATTAGTAGATAAAGTTAACTTGGAAGGAGTAATATTAATGTACATTAATAGTTTATAAATTAGGTAGTACTTGGTAAGCTATCCTGAGTGCCCACTACTTTTGTCTAGATCAGTGTGTACTTTCACTTCAGATCATCAGTTTTAAATGAACGTTAGAGAGTAATCCTTTTTTTTGTTTTTTTAGTTATCAGTGAATTGGCATAGTTTTATTTTCTTACTATCTAATGATTTTTTTTTTTTGAGAAGTTTTTACAATAGGTGCATGCACTCACCAGAGAGACAAGAAGTGAGAAATCAACTCCCGCAAGGGGAATGACCAGCAGGTGGCCTAATGGTTATGGTTCTGGACTCCCACATGGCCAACCACAGTTTGAATCCCTGACCCAGTCTTGAAACTGGCCGGGTGTGTACACATGCATGCCCAAAATCTTAAGAGGAGAATGAAGGAGAAGGATTATGGTGTGCCACTTCCCTCCCAGGGGGGAATGTGTGTGATCTCACTTTATCTCTCTTCATATCTCTCTGTCTCTCTGGTGAGTACATGTGCCCTATGGCAAAAATATCTCTCTTTCAAAAACGAGTATTTTTGATATTCAGAATAAAGAGTAAACATTTTTAATTTTAGTTTTTGTCTGTTCTTTATTTTGGAGAAGAGTGCAGGAACACTTACTAGGTTCCTTCTTTCCTTTTCCTTGCCCATCAATGTCAAGTTTTGTTTTGTTCTCCCCCTCATTTTTTTTTAAGAGAGATTTTTGCTATAGGGTGTGTGCACTCACCAGGGAGACAGAGAAACAGAAAGCAAGAAGCCACCTCCCCCTTCCCTGCCCCCGAAGGGGGATGGCCATACCTCAGTCCCTTCTCCTCCATTGTCCTGTAGGGATCTTGGGCATGCATGTACTTGGCGCCTGGTATGAGTTTTAAGCCATTGGGTCTGGGACTCAAACTATGGTTGACTACATGAGAGTCCAGTGACATAGCCATTATACCATCTGCTGGTCCCTCTCCCTCTCATCTTAATAGGAAAAAACTACTCACTGCCTACCTAAGCACAAGTTTCACAGAAAAAAAAAAATTTTATTGCTAGAGGGCATGTGTACTTGCCAGACAGACAGGCAAACAGCCACTCCCCAAAGGGTTGTGGTCACATAGCAATCATTTCTTTTCCATTTTTCTGTCCTGTCAGGGTTCTGAACATGCACATATGCTTGGCATATTTTCAAGCTGCTGGGGCAGGATTTGAACCACAATGGGCAACGTGAGATCTGGCTTCTTTAATCACTGGAGTACAGGGCCTGGAATGTTTGTAAGCTTTTAAAAGAAATTTACTTATTTATTTCTCCTACGAGTAAAGAAGAGAGTAAGAAGAGGACCCCAATAAAGGTCACATATGTACATGCACACACATGAGAGTGAGTAAGGGAGAGGAAGAAAGCACCTCCTGTCTCGGCCTGTTCATGCCACAGTTCTTTTTCCTCTTAATTCTCCATCCCATCAGGATCCTGGGCGCATGCACACCTGGCATGTTTTTTAACTGTCAGACCAAGGACTTGATCCCTGTCCAGTCACGTGGACTCTGACTTTCTCTGTGTGGTGCTTAGCCACTGCACTATGAGGCCAGCCCCCCCCCAACTGGGTCTCAATGCCCTGATCCACCCCCAGCTTTTGCAAGCCACAAATCATGGCTACATGCATGCCTGGCATATTCAGAGAAGTCTCTAGGTACCAACCTGGAACTTTCCCATGTGGGTCAGCCTTGCGGAGCATTATGTTTTACCACTGTGCCACCATCTGGTCTGAGCTTCACAGAAATTTTAATCTACTTATCCTATTCATCTACATTCATGCTGTCTGTTCATGTAGAACGGGGTGCGTGGCAGAGAGAGAGACAGTGTTTAATTATCCTTTTTTTTTTTTTTTTAGTTTCTACCTTAGGGTGCGTGGCAGAGAGACAGACAGAGACAGCGACAGTGAGGGAGAAAGTGAGAAATCACCCCCTCCCCCCTCCCAGGGGGGATGATCACACTGTGGTCCCTTCACCTCCTCTCTCCTCCTAGAATTTTGGGCACACACACACACATGCCTGACGTGACTTTCAAGCCACCAGGTCCAAGACGTCAACCGTGGTCGACCATGTGGGAGTCCAACACCTTAAGCACCATGTCACCTGCTGGCCCTGTCAGTTCAATGTTTAATTCCTGAAAGCTGTCTAATAATACTGCTTTCTGACAACAAGATAACATTTAAATAATCCAGAATAAAGTCTGCATTGTTTTTTTGTTTTTGGAGAGGTTTTCACTATAGGACATGTGCGCTCGCCAGAAAGACAGAGAGAGAGACATAGAGACAGAAAGCGAGAAATCACCTCTCAGGGGGGATGGTCACGCCACAATCCCTTGTCCTCCATTCTCCTCTTGGGATCTTGGGCGCACACGCACCCAGCGTGAGTTTTAAGCCACCAGGTCTAGGACGTGAACCGCGGTTGACTATGTGGGAGTCCAGCGACATAGCCATTACGCTAACTGCTGGTTCCCCTAAAGTCTGCATTGTTATCATGTGAATAATTATAATCATGTGAAATCATTTAAATTACTCCTTTATTCCTACTTTGCCCTTGTCAGGGATTTTTATTCCAGTATGAGGAGACTTCAAAAACTTTGCAGAAAACTTGAATTAAATTATGAGTTTATTTTTGTGCAAAAAAATTGGAATTCAGACATAATTTTTTAAGAATTATTTTATTTGACTTTATTTGTTTGTTTAATTTGACCAGAGAGGGACTGTGTGTGTGTGTGTGTGTGTGTGTGTGTGTGTGTGAGAGAGAGAGAGAGAGAGAGAAAGCCACCAGTTCTGGGCCTCGAACTGCGGTCAGCCATGAAGGAATTCAAGTGCCCTTAACCGCCATGCCACCCGCTGGTCCCCAGACAAAGTTTTCTCATAATATTTATTTTCTAGGACCTTTTCAAAGGCCCTTTGTATTGGTTGATAGCTTATTAAAACCTAAGTTAATCTGAGGCTAGCAGTGGCTGACTGTGGGTCGAGTGTCAGACCTGGTGGCTTGCTTTCTCACTTGCCCTCTTTTTCTGTCCCTCTCTGATCAAATTAAAATAAATAAATAAAAGTTAAATAAAATAATTCTTTTAAAAAATTAAAACCTAAGTTAATCTTAGGAAGAAAATTTTTAGTGTAACTGTGTTGGAACGTTTTTATTTTTTGTTTCTTTAATTTTGCCAGAGGACACATGTGCTTACCAGGGAAAGGGGGGGGAGTAAGAAAACCCCCTCGACCCCCTCAGGAGATGATCATGCTGCAATCCCTTCTTCATTTCGCCCTCCTTTTGGGATTTGAGACATAAAAGCACATGGCATCTGGCATGTTTTTTAAGCCACTAGGTCTTGGACTCAGCCATGCACTGGGCCATGTGGGATCTCACTGCTGTAACTGCTAGCCACCTTGCTAGCTTCAGGAGGATGTTTTTATTTCTAATTGGGGTTGAGAATATAGATAGTTATTCCCATTTCCACTGAATAACTTTAGGATCATTCTGATTAAAATCTTTGTTTTATGAATGCAAAGGTTCAATAAAATGTTATTTTAAAAACATTTTGGGGACTTAATCTATTTTGAGTTTTTTGGGAAAACAGTGAAAAACCTAATACTATCTAGTTTACTGTATCATATAATTTGATATGAGAAGTTCAGGTTTGATCTTGTCCAGTTTAGTAGGAGAAATGCTTTATAATAATCAGTATTATCCTCTAGTGGGATTCGGGCAATTGCTGTTTCTCTTTTTTAAGAAAAAGAAATCTAGAACTAAAATACCTACCATTTATATATTTTTTAAAAGTTATTTAGTTTTGACGATAAGAAACCTATTTTTACCTATACCTTTATTTAAATTTAACTGCAGTAAATGTAAGCTATATTCCTTATCTATCTCAAGTTATCTTTTCCCCGTTTTAGTAATGTCTCATTTTGGCACTGGGTGTTAACTGTGTGTTCCTTGTATAAGCCTCGCTCAGTCTGCATGACATTAGTGTTTTCAGTATGTTTTGAATTGATGTCTTACATTAGTTTATGAAACATTTACAACAAAATATTTTTCTTTTTGTTTCTGTTTATATAGAAGTGGTACACCATCTCCCAAACGGACATCTGTAGGCTCCAGGCCACCAGCAGTAAGAGGCAGCAGAGATCGATTTACTGGGGAATCATATACTGTGCTGGGTAAGATAAAACATAATAGTTCTTCATTATCTCAGGTTAAAGACATCATAGTCCCACTTTCTACTCACTCAGAGCTAGAATGTCTGTCTATATAGTGAATGAATCTTTGTAGAAACTTCTCCCTGTTGAAGTCTGATTAATTTGGTGGGTTTCAGTTTTGTCTTATTGATGTTTTAAAAACTATACTTCATTTTATATAGTGCTCTGCATATCTATATAACCCTGGAGAGGATTGATAGTAAGCAAGAGAAGTTCTGAAGCATTTTATGTTCAGAAAAGAAAAATAGTAATAAATGTAAAAGTAAAGTTATAGCATGTACTCTGCATTTAGTGTCTTTGTGTTAATCTCATAGAGTATTTGAATTAATTTTTTGTGCTATTCATGGGAAATGTTAATAGGTAAAACCCTGTATAATTCATAAAGAGGTTGGAGCCAAATCTACCTTTCTGATCTCTTATAGGAGACACTGCTATTGAAAGTGGACAACATTATTGGGAGGTCAAGGCCCAGAAGGATTGTAAATCCTACAGTGTGGGAGTAGCATATAAAACTTTGGGGAAATTTGACCAACTGGGAAAGACAAATACTAGCTGGTGTATCCATGTCAACAACTGGCTACAAAACACATTTGCAGCAAAGCATAATAATAAAGTCAAAGCTTTGGATGTTACTGTTCCTGAGAAAATAGGTGTATTTTGTGATTTTGATGGGGGTAAGTTTAGTTATTTTCTCATAAGTCATTTCATCATGTTTGCTTGTATTTTAGTACTATTCATGGTAGTCATCTATACAGGATTTCCATTAGTACTATGGCACGGGCATTTTAACCAATTATGCTTAATCAAAAGCATAATCTTAATTCTAGAAGTGACTGAAAAGGTTTGTGCTATTTGCCTGGAGCCCTATAAAAACACTAATTTATATTGTATTAAGTAGGTCTCAAAGATTTCATTAATTTTAGCCTGCAGTACCAAATTTTTTTTGTCCTTTTGAATTCTTTCAGTACTATATTTTATTATCTACCTATAAAGAATGGTGGAGTCAGACATTTTGAGTTGGAGTAGATCTTAAAAAAAGTACAGTAAAACTGAAATGTCATCACTAACATTTTCCATTTCTGTTTGAATAACTAAGCTGGTAGCTTATATAACTATTTGAATGCAGTTGTTACTAAATGACAGAATTTGGTACTTTAATAGTGTCAACTTGTAGAAAAACATAAAGGGAATAAATTTTGTTCCCTAGTTCAATAATGTATTTTCTTTAAAATTTTATAAATTAGTTAACCATAGAGAAGATATTTATTAATGAACTAGTTTAGTAAGCTTAAATTTATTTATTTAGCCTTAGGCCACATGCACTTGCCAGAGAGAGAGAGACTGAAAGTGAAACATCATCCTCCAAAGGTAATTTTCCTCCATTTTTGAGTATTTGAGGCATGCACATACAAATGCCTAGCATTTTTCAAGCCCCTGAGTTCAGTACTTGAACCACAAAATCGGCCATGTATGATCCAGAACCTTAACCACCATACCACCATACCACCAGTTAGCTCAAAATTTAAATATAAATAAATAAACATTAAGCTAATTTTTAGGTGGTTTTAATAGGAAGGGAAGCTTGGCTAAATCTGTTAAGATAAAAATAGGAAAGAGTAAATTTAATAGTCTCCATTTGAGTTATAAACAACAAAAAACAACCCTTAACTAAAGGAAAAATAAAAATAAAAAAGATGATTTGACAGAAAAGATCTAGTTAGGGTTAGGGTTAGGTTGCAACAAACTCAATGTAAGTCAATAGCACAGTTAATTCATATTATCAGAAATAATGTTGTCGGGAACCATCAGTTAGCATAATAGCTATGTTGCTGGACTCCCACGTAGTCGACCACGGTTCGCGTCCCGGACCCAGTGGCTTAAAAAACTCACGCCGGGCGTGTGTGCGTACATGCCCAAGATCCTGAGAGGAGAATGGAGGAGAAGGGATTGAGGCGTGACCATCCCCCCTGGGGGGTGATTTCTCGCTTTCTGTCTCTATGTCTCTCTGTCTGTCTAGCGAGCGCACATGCCCTATAGTGAAAATCTCTCCCCCCCCCAAAAAAAAAAAAAAAAAAAAAAAAAGAAATAATGTTGTCAAATCACTGTCCTATGCTGGTCAGAGATCATACCTTTTACTTTAAGAACAGCCTTTAAGAAATACATTGATATATGAGAAATACTAGATACCATTAAATGTCCAAACATCCGGATAATTGGTATCCCAGAAGGTGAAGAGACTAACAATGGCATTGATAATATATTCCATGAAATCCTGGAAGAAAACTTTACAAACCTAGAGAGAGATTCAGAGATCCAGACTCAAGAAATGCAAAGGACCCTGTATAGAATCAACCCAAGAAGATCTTCCCTAAGACACATTGTAGCCAGATTGACCAAAATCACAAAGACAAAGACAAGATACTAAGATTGGTGAGAGAGAAACATCAAGTTATCTAAGAAGGATATCTCATCTGGCTCACAGCTGACCTCTTATCACAAACAATGTGAGCAAGGAAAGACTGGGAAAATATATTCAAAGTGTTAAGGGAAAAGCAATTTCAACCAAGAATACTGTATACCTGGCAAGATTATACTTCATATGGGAAGAAAAGACAAGAACATTCTCAGATAAACGAAACCTGAAAGCATTTACCAACACCAGACCAGCTATCCAAAAAAAAAAAAAGGGAGTCTATACCAGGAGAACTAAATACAGATACATAGGAATAAGAGTTCAAAAAAACCCTAAGATAATGGCCAACTTAATGGTAGGAACAAGTCTGGAGTTGAATATTATATCCAGAATGTAATTGGTAAGATTGGGCCACAACAGAAGATAAAGTACATTAGACTGAACTGGCGAAATAGTTTTATGACTTATGACTAAAACATTACTGATTTTCTTCTAGACTTTGTTTTCTGGATTTAGGTATTTTTGTCTTGTCTTGAGCTGCCAGTAGGTTCATGTACCTACTATTTGAACAGAATCCTAACCTGTTTCCTGGCTTTAAATTTTAAGCAGAGCTCTCTTAGCATTTCTTTGGTTTTGATTTGTTAAAGTTAAAACCGCTTTTCTTGAAAGTAAAAAAATATATTAAAAAATAGCTATTTAATGACTGCAGTAAGCTATATAGCATCAGCTAGGTCCTACTTTATAGTACATTCATTCAACTCAGAGTTTCACACCTAAAGTCAGACATATATTCACAGATACATATATATCAGCTGTCCTTGCTATTGAAAGTTGTTAAATTGTTTAAGATATTTTGTGAATCAATAAAATGTGGGGGAAAAAAAGAAATACATTGATGCACAGCAAAAGAAACAATAATTAAAGTGAAGAGACAGCCCTCGGAATGGAAGAATGTATTTGTGAATTCTCCCTTGGATAAGGGAATGATAACCAAAATATACAGGGAGCTCAAGCAGCTTACCTGCAAAAAAATCAGTCCAATCAAAAGATGGACAAGTGAGCTGAACAGACAACTCTCCAAGGAAGACATATAAACAGCCAAAAAGCATATGAAAAAATAGTCAATATCTCTCATCATAAAGGAGATACAAATAAAAACCACAATTAGATACCACTTAAACTCAGAATGACTAAGATTAAAAAAAATGAATAAGTACTGGTGAAGCTGCAGTGAAAAGGGAACCCTCCTACACTGTTGGTGGGTATGTAAATTAGTACAGCCAGTGTGGAGAACAATTTGAAGGTTCCTAGAAGACCTACAATAGAACTACCATACAATTCAGCAATTCCGCTCCTGGGTATCTACCCAAAGGATAGGAATATATTTAGTTGGGGAAACACTTGCAGATCCATGTTTACTGCAGCATTATTCACATTGCTAAGATATGGAATCAACCCAAATGTTTAAGGACAGATGAATAGATTGAAAAGTATGGCATATATACACTACATAATAGCACTCAGCCATAAAAAACAATGAGACCCTGGCATTTGACAGAAATTGGATGAATATGGAGGATTTAATGCTAAGTGAAGCTAGATGGACTATACAAGAGAGGCATTGTATGTCCCACTTACTATATCCCGAATTTTGGGGCTGACAGGTAGTAAGGTGGTTAAGGTGCTGGACTACCACATGGCTGACCACAGTTCAAGTCCTGGATAGGACACTTTCTCACTTTCCCTTTCTCTCTCTGGTCAAATATAATAATGATAGCGATTAAATAAATAAATCTTTAAAATACACACACAGACACATACATACAAACACCATATGTATGTAACTCTATGGTAGAAACTGAAAGATTAAAAGATAGGAAAGAAAACATGGAAAGCAGCTGTGGATACCAGAGACAGTATGTGAGGAGGGCGTGAAATGAGGGGGGCAGGTAGAGGGAGTCAAAAAGAGAAAAAAAGCAAAGCATTCAATAAGCACAAAAATGGAAAATTATCTGTTGCCAACAATATATATGGTAATAATCCTTGACTGGACTAACATGTAGTATATATTCATGCTGGGAAAATCCATTTTGTATGCTGTAAAGATGTACAGTGATGGAATTAAAAACAAAAAGGGAAACAAAAACTTGAAGAAAAAAAGAGATGGGATCCGCAGTTAGCGTAATGGCTATGTCGCTGGACTCCCATGTAGTTGACCACAGTTCAAGTCCCGGACCTGGTGGCTTAAAACTCATGCTGGATGCGTGTGCGTGTGTGCCCAAGATCCTGAGAGGAGAATAGAGGGGAAGGGATTGCGATGTGGCCATCCCTCCTGGGGGGTGATTTCTCGCTTTCTGTCTCTTTCTGTCTGGTGAAGTTGCCATATAGAAAAAAACCATAAAAAAAAAAAAAAAAAAAAGAAAGAAAGAAAGAAAGAAAAAAAAGAGGTGAAGGCCTTTAGATATTGTCTTAAGCTGTTCCTAACCATATGGGTTGAGTTAGTTAACCTTCCAACATACACAACCAGCACCAACAACATTGGTATAGCAGAAACTTAGTGCTTTGTGATGCTGGGCCTACGTGAAAAGGTACCAGGTTAACATCCCAATGTCTCCCTGAACACACTGGGAAGGTGCAGGCATGCCTGTGATTTGGACTAAGTAAGACTGGGTATGGATTGTAGCTTGGGGACTCTTTTGGAGGTAACTTTCTCTCAGAAGAAATAAATTTAAGCTTAAAAAAAGTTCTTAAAGTAGTGCCTGCAAATGGCACCAGTGGATCAGGTGCTGGATTCTCACATGACTGACTGGTTTGAGTCCTAGATCCAGTGGCTTAAAAAATTATGCAAATACATATCAATAGATAATAAAAGGGATCAGCAAATGGCATGGTGGCTGGGGCACTGGACTCCCACACGGTCAACTGTAGTTAAAGCCTCAGACTAGGCAACTTGCATTCTCTCTCTCTTTCTCCCCCCTCTCTGTCTCTGCCTGTCTTGTCTGTCTGCCTCTCTCAGACACATGCCCTATAACAAATTTTAAAGAAATAATAATAAATAAAATTAAGTAATTCTTTTTTTTTTTTTTTTGGAGAGATTTCTCTCGGGATCTTGGGCACGCACGCACACGCGCCTGGCGTGAGTTTTAAGCCACCGGGTCCGGGACACGAACCACGGTCGACTACGTGGGAGTCCAGCGACATAGCCATTACGCTAACTGCTGGTTCCCAAATTAAGTAATTCTTTAAAAAAATTTGGGACCAGCAACTGGCGTAATGGCTGTGTCACTAGAATCCATATAGTTGACTGTGGTTCGAGTCCCAGATCTGGTGACTTAAACTCACACCAGGCATGTGTGCATGCGTGCCCAAGATCCCAAGAGGAGAATGGAAGAGAAGGGATTGTGGCATGGCCATCCCCCCGGGGGGTAATTTCTCGCTTTCTGTCTCTCTCTTTCTTTCTGGCAAGTCCACGTGCCCTGTAGTAAAAACCTCAAATGAATGAATGAATGAATAAATAAAATGAAAATATTCTTGAAGCACAATTGTGGCAACTACTTGCAGAAATAGTATGGTAAGGATTTTATACTCTGTGGCGAAGGGATTAGGTCCTTTCTAAGGCTAAAATGGTGATATAATTTGGATAGAGATTTACTGGTTATAGTAAAAATAAGGAGAAGGAAATAGCCTTGGTTTTTACCAGATTAACAAAATCACTTTTTAAACTGTTCATGGTTAAATAAGCAGAATAGTGCCCAGTTACAGAGGTCTTAAAAACCAGAGGAAGAAAACTAGATTTAGGATTTTTCCTTTAAGCATATTTAACACTGATTTTCAAATGAGAATTGTTAGGTCCAGTCCTTATACTTTGTAACTAAAAAATAAAGAAATAAAAAAGCCAAACTGTATATTAAGTTACTAGTTTTTTGTATGCTTATATGTTAGATTACTGTATAATAAATTAGTCTTTTTTTTTCCTCCTTTGTTTTTAGGTCAACTTTCTTTCTATGATGCAAACTCAAAGCAGTTGCTGTATTCCTTTAAGACAAAATTTACTCAGCCAGTAGTACCTGGTTTCATGGTTAGTACATAATACATTTCATTTGGTTTGGCAACTTTAAGGACAATAACCTATGGTGTATATTTGGGAAAACAGAATGTCTTATTTTTTTCTTTATATTCCACTCTTCCCAAGCCATCCCCTCCAAAATCTGTGATTTTTCTGTGTATTTTGGTATATTTTATTGATGTCAGTTTTAGTGTGAAAGTATACAAATCATACACATATTGTATGATGTATTTTTATCAGACTCTTCACTTTTGTGATCAAGAAATGGAACATTACCAGAACCTTAGTGCTCCTTTGTGCCCATCCTCCAAATGGTTACCGTTAATGAATTTAAAAACTTATTTTGCCTCTTTTTCAACTTTATATATCAGTAATACATTATCTTTTTGGGTCAATGGTATGTTTGTAGATTTATACATGTTCTATGTGGATACAGCTCATTCATTCTTATAGCTGTAGCATTTTCCATTACTATGTCATTTTATTTATCCACTCTAGTTTGATTCTCAGATGGTTTCTGTTTAGCAGCACTTACAAATATAACTGCTGTGAATATTCCTGATTATGTCTTTTGATAAATTTGTGTATTTATTTCCATTGAATATATACTTAGGATTGTGGTTCATAGATCATATGGTATGCATATAATCAACTGTAGTCGATAACACCAGTTTTCCAAGAGGTTGGTTGTACTTATTTACAACCAATAGCATAGACACTCCTCAATTTATGATGAGGATCATCTTGATAAACTCCCTTGTAAGTTGAAAATTTCATTAAGTTGAAAACACATTTAATACACTCACCTATTGATGGATGGTTCCTGACTTATGAAGTGCAGTTGTGGAGCTACTTACAATTTTGTACCATTATAAGTAAAAGAATTGTAATTGAACCATCATAATCCAGGGACTATCTTTTATATGAGCATTTGAGCTTCTCCATATCCTTGTCAACATTTAGTATTGTCTTCTTAAAAACTATTTATTTACTTAATTTATTATTATTACATTTTCTGTAGGACACATGTGCTCACCAGAGAAACACACAGAGAGAAAGGAAAAGTAAGAAAGCAAGCCACCAGGTCCAGGACTCGAACCACAGTCGGTCTTGTGGGAGTCCAGTGTTTTAACCACCACACCACCTTCTGGCTCCTGTGTTTCTTTTTTATGTTAGTCCTTCCAATGGGTATATTACATTGTGGTTTAAATTTATATTTGTTTGATGACTACTGCTGTGGAGCACCTTTTCATATGTTAACTATTCAGTATATTCTTTTGCGATTGGCTGTTAAGTCTTTTATTGGTGTTTCTGTTAGGTTATCCTCCAGTTTCCTCAGTCCTTTGCCAGATACATGTACGAGGGATTTTCAAAAAGGTCATTGAAACTGTATATAATGGGGACCAGCAGTTGGCATAACGGCTATGTTACTGGACTCCTATGTAGTCAAGCACAGCTCAAGTCTCAGACCTGGTGCCTTAAACTCACACTGGGTTCGTGATCTTGAGAGGAGAATGGAGGAGAAGGGATTATGGCATGGCCATCCCCCTGGGGGGTAATTTTTCACTTTCTGTCTCTCTCTTTCTGGTGAGCGCACGTGCCCTATAGCAAAAACCTCTCTAAAAAAAAAAAAAAGAAGAAGAAGAAGAAACTGTCTATAATGAAAAAACTGCCTGGATTTCAGAATTTATTTTTCCGCCAATAAAGTTATTTTTAATGTAAAAAATATGTAGGACTATTAGAAGTCGTGGGGTTTTTTGGCTTACTTTGTCACATACCTCTGTTGTACTGTGTATTTTTGGCTGGTTTTCTAAATTGGTCAAACAGGAACAAGTTATTTACAATGTGGAACTCACAAAAGTTGTTTTTTTTCTAATTCTTGAATATACTTTTATAAAAGAATAGATTATATTTTAAATTAGATAGGTACTGAGTTTCTTCATTCCAAATAATGAAGTTATAAATTAAACTAGTAAATGTTATGCTTAAGGAAATGTCTTTTAAACTAGTTAAAATTAGTGGGGTTTTTTTAAGTTTTAAGAAATAATTTCTTCTGGGGACCAGCAGTTGGCATAATGGCTATGTCACTGGACTCCCATGTAGTCGACCGCAGTTCGAGTCCCAGATCCAGTAGCTTAAACTCACTGTAGGCATATGTGCGTGCATGCCCAAGATCCCGAGAGGAGAATGGAGAAGGGATTGTGGCATGGCCTTCCCTCCTAGGGGGTGATTTCTTGCTTTTGGTCTCTCTTTCTGGTGAGCACACGTACCCTATAGCAAAAAACTCTTCAAAATAATTAAATAAGTAAATAAATAATTTGTTCTGAGAAAAAGAGAAAGATAGTGAGAAACGGGCACCTCCAACAGGGTTTTTACACATGATCCATGGCTATTCTCTTAATTGTTGAGTTACATTTTATATATGTATGTACCATATTTATTCATCCATTCACTAGTTGAAGGACATTTGAGTTCATTCCACTTGAGGGCAATTAAGAGTAAAGTCACTATAAAATTCATATGTGGGGTTTTGTGTGAACAAATGTTTTTTCTCTTGGTTAAATACTCAGGAGTAGTAGAGTTGCTGGATCACATTGAAAGTGTCTGTAAAGTTGGAAATGAAACAATGTGTATAACTTTATAAGAAACTATCAAAATGTTTTCCAAAGTGGCTGTACCTCTTTTGCATTCCTACCAGCAGTATGTGATTCCATTATATCCTTTCTATGATGTGGAATTAGGCTTTTTTTGTGTGTTATTAAACCATTTTAATAAATGTAGAGTGGTATTTCATTGTTTTTATTTACACTTTCATAATGACAGATGATGTTGAGCATCTTTTCATGTACTTATTTGCGATTTATATCATTTTTCAGGTGAAGTATCTTAAAATCCTTTGTTCATCTTTTTAGGTTATTTGTTCTCTTAGTGAGTTTTAAGAGTTCTTTATATATTCTGGATATGAATCCTTTATCAGATGTCTTATAAATAATTTTATCCCAATTTGTGGCTTATTTTTTTATTTTCCAAACATTTCAAAGAAGTTTTTCAATTTTTTTTTTTATAAATGTGACATGTTAGTTCTTTTTCTTTTTTAAAGAATTATTTTATTTAACTTTATTTATTTTCATTTGACCAGAGAAAGAGAGAGAGAAAGACACGGAAAGTCAGAAAGCAAGCTGCCAGGTCTGGAACTCAAACCACAGTTGACCATGTGGGAGTCCAGCGCCTTTAACTACCACTCCACCTGCTGGCCCCCATTTGCGCACAAAGTTCTATTTATAATTGTTTTTCCTTTTATGGATAATGCTTTCCCTAACTTAAGGTCACAAAGATTTTCTCTTCTTCCACTTCCTTTAGGTTTTACATTTAGGATATGGTCTAGTTTGAAATGAATTTTGTACGTTTTTTTTTTGACATATGCATAATATACTTTTCCAGTATTATTTACTGAAAAGACTTGGCTAGTCCCATGGCCTAGGGGTTAAGAGAGCCAGATCCCACAGGACCGCATGGTTCTAGTCCAGGCCAAAGCAGTTTGAAAAATATTACAGGTGCCTGTGTGTGCATGCCCAAAATTCTGAAAGGATGGAAATACAGAGAAGGGACTGCGGCTTGACCATCTCCCACGAGGGTACTTTCTCACTTTCCCCCTACCTCTTTCTCTCTCTCAGGCAAGTGTATGCATTCTTTGGCAAAATTAATTTAAACAAAAGAAAGAAAAGACTAACCCTCATTGATTTGCCTTTGTACTTCTGTGTTAATAGGCTGAGTAAATATATTTCTAAGTCACTTGGATAATCTCCCCCCCCAAAAAATTGGTAGTTTTATAATCAGAATTGCTTTTGTATTTTGAGAGTTGTTATTACTGAGTTTGCTAGTTTTGAATTTCTTTCATTCTTTCTTTCTTTTTGTTTTGAAAGCTTTTTGCTATAGTGTGCATGCACTTGCCAGAAAGACAGAGACAGACAGATAGAAAGCGAGAAATCACTCCCCAGAGGGGATGGCCACGCTACAATCCCTTCTCCTCTGGGGATCTTGGGCATGCATGTACGTGTACCTGGCATGAGTTTAAGCCACCGGGTCCAGGACTAGAACTGTGGTCGACTACATGAGAGTCCAGCGACATAGCCATTACTCCAACTGCTGGTCCTGCTAGTTTTGAAAATTTTAAATGTTTGTTTGTTTAATTTGCCAGAGGACATGTGCACTCACTGGAGAGAGAGAGGGAAAACTTAGAAAGCACCTGCTCTCCAGTAGGATGTGATTATACTGCAGTCCCTTCTCCATTTTCCCACCTTTTGGGATTTTGGGCATACATGCCTAGCATGTTTTTCAAGCTATGCAGTTGGCCATGTACAGTCAAGCTCACGTAACCACCAAGCCATGGGCTGGCCCTAGAATGTTAATTTTATAATTATAAATTTCACAGATAAGTATTCTTTGATCCAATACTTTAGTTACTTAGTAAACACTGAATACTTAAGGATATAATTTAAGGTGGCGGGTGGGCAGCGGATGGCATAGTGGTTAAGGTGCTGGACTCCCACATGACTAGCCATGGTCTGAGTCCTGGACCTTGTGGCTTGCTTTCACACTTTCTTTCTCTCTCTGGTCAAATTTTAAAATAATAATAAATAAATTAAATAATTATTTTAAGAGTTATTTATTGATTTAATTTAATTTGTTATTATTATTTTATTTTAACCAGACAGAGACAGAGAGAGAGAAAGGGAAAGCAAGAAAGCAAGCTACCAGATCTGGGATTCAAACTGTGGTCGGCCATGTGAGAATCCAATGCCTTTAACCACCAGGCTACCTGCTGGCCCCTAAAATTAAATCTTAAAAATAATAATAATAATAATTTGAGGCCAGCAAGTGATGTGGTGGTTTAAGGGCACTGGAGTCCCACATGGTTGACCACGGTTTGAGTCCTGGTCCTGGTGGCTTGCTTTCTCACTTTCTGTCTGTCTGTCTGTCTCTCTCTCTCTCTGTCTTGCTCTGTCCCCCTCTGGTCAAAATAAATAAATAAAAAGTTAAAAAATAAAATAATTCTTTAAAAATTAGTAATAATAATTTAAGGTGGGAATACTTACATAACTTATAGAATTTCCCTTGCTTTGAGCTACATACATGGTAGTTGATAACAGTTTTAAATTATACATGACTCTGTTCCTAACAGTTATTTTTCACTTTATTGAATTATAGTTGCTCTGTTTATAAGCAGAGTTTTATTTACATTTAATCACCCTACATCTTTTACAGTACACAGCATATTTTTTCCCAACAAGAATACTATTCATCTCAATCAAGACAAAGACATTACCATATACATTATCATCAGCAAACAACTTTTCATTTTTGTATCAATTAAAAGTACTACTAAGCAGTTTTATCTTTCATAAACACATTCACATGGTAATCAATAGAATATGTCAAGGGAATCTAGGTACTGTGATTTACATTTTTCTCAGCAATTCTTAAAAGAATTATAAAAGGGTGGGACCATCAGGTGGTGTAATGGTTACATCTCTGGATTCTCACATGGCCTACTGCAGTTTGAGTCCTGGCAGCTTGAAACTCACTTCAGGTACATGTGCATGTGTGCCCAAGATCCCAAGAGGAGAATGGAGAAGGAATTGTGGCTTGGCCATCCCCCCTGGGGGCTGATTTCTTGCTTTCTATCTCTCTGTCTCTCTCTTTCTCTGGCAAGTGTACGTACGTCCTTCTCTAGTTTGCCATTCCAGTAGGTTCTGCTAACAGAAACCTTCCTCTGGCTAGCCCTGGTGGCAACAGTGGCAGCGTACTGCTCTATAAATGAAGACATGGAAGATCAGGATTTGGTTCTTGGATCAACCTGTACATGTTAGGCACGTGTATGTGCTGCGAGAGAATCATAGTGTGAGACCCCAGTGAGAATGCATGTCTTTTCGGTTCTTGGATCAACCTGTACATGTTAGGCACATGTATGTGCTGGGAGAGAATCATAGAGTGAGACCCCAGTGAGAATGCATGTCTTTTTTCTTTCTCTCTCTAGTCTCTACTCTCATCCATGAAGAAAATAATCTTAAAAGATGTCCTCGGACCTCTGTATTCTAATTATTCTAAAACACTCCTGAATTAGCTTTTCCACTTTCCCTCAGCTCAGATACAAAGGTTGTCAGTTGGGAACCTATTAATGTTCATATATGTAGCATTTTGCCTTTCAGTCAGAAACTTACGAGTCACCTATGTTGTAATTTGATTTGAAATCTGACTGAGGCTTTGTTTTTGTCTTTTCTTAGGTTTGGTGTGGAGGACTTTCCTTGAGTACTGGGATGCAGGTTCCAAGTGCTGTAAGAACACTCCAGAAAAGTGAAAATGGAATGACTGGCTCAGCTAGCAGCCTGAACAATATTGCTCAGTAATGCCTGCTCAGAATATGTTTACCGTCAACCGTCTTGATTGGGTGGCCTTGTCTGTGCAGTTACTAATCACAGAAACTGAGTGGTGGAAATCGGATTTGCTAAGTTCTGCTTTAAGGCCTGGAATCTGTTAGCATTGAGGATCTAGTACAAAGCATTTGCAAGAACCCGCTGTGCAATATAGAAGCAAGCAGATATTGATCAAGAAAGTGATGTTTTGAAGAGTAAATGAGGGAGAAAGTCAGTGTTTAAATATTAATACAGAAATTCATTTTTGTATTTCTTGTATTAATTTGGATCTTCTGATATGTTTACTTATATATGGTGTCCCTATGGCCTGGGGTGAAAAGCTTTTACATTTTGCCTTCTTTCCTCTATACGTTCTTTTTTCCATTTCATCACTACCTATCATTTCATTTTTCACACCGAAGCTTTAAAAATAATTGAGTCTTCTAAGATATTCTGAAAATTGAAATAATTGGTTTAGAATGATAGAAAGGTTTCCTTACAATGGTTTATTTTCCCTGTTTATAAATAAGGTGAGTTTTGCTAAATTATCCTCTTTCATTTATTGACTAGATTTTGTATATAATTTTCTTTTTTTCCAAAATACTGATATTTCTCTTGAGGTTATAACTCAAAATGGTTGATATAAAGAGTTTCTAGATATAACAGCTTAAAATTAACCAAGTTTTAGTTTTGTGCCTACTGCATTAACACAGTTAGATAAGGGTATTCTTTATATATTGTCTTGTTTAACTACAATTCTTTTTATTCCATCACTTTGGGTGATGGGTAAGGTTTTAGAAGCCTTACATTTTCTGATTTTGTTGTCTAGTTTAATCTCACTTTTAATAGTCATCTTTGATAAAATTCTCACTTGAATTTGGCCTTGATAATAATTATGCTTGTTTTTGACATTTCTAGTAGGAATGAAAGTTTATTAAAGTTATATCAAGGGTAGAAGACCTACATTAATTTTTATCTAAGAAGGATAGGTAATAAAGAGAGGTACCTAAAATATTCTTTATTGAAGTAATTTATATCTTTTTTCAATAAGATATGGAATAGTTTAAACAATTGTTTTGAAAAAAATATATATTATCTCTGACTTAATTGGTACATGAGTTTTTCAAACAACCTTTCAGGTGCTATTTTTCTCAGTTCTTTTCCTACATTCATTTGCTTTCTAAAGAGGATGTAATCTCTTCCAAAATGGCATAGTTTTCCCCAAACTTGAGAGACTATGTTAAACAATAAGTACAGAACATAGATATGTTATTTAGCAGAATGTAGCTATGCCTAAAAAGTTGATTAGAACTTGAGCCAAACTAAAAGTTGTAATTAAAGTATTTAAGAATTATTGAGCATTTTAAAGAGATCTGATATTGTGTTTTCCATAATTTTTAAAACTTTTAATTTCTTCTGTTGACTTTCATTTTCATTTTAAATATTTTGTGCTATGACAGCTTGCTCCCAGGAAGTAACTGTTGCTGCTTTTGAGTTGCTTTTTATAGAGAGGCCTATGTAAATCCAATAGCTCATTTTCTCTTACAATTTGCTGCTTACTGATACAGTGTTTATTCCATTTATAAATCTAAATGAGAAATTTTATTTGAACCAGGATATTATTTTTCCAGAGGATATTCAGATCTGCACCATTGTCTGATGACATATTGATAATTTTAGAGACTATAGGGCAGTTTAGAGAATGAAATATGTCAACAGAAGCTCTTTTGATTCTCCAAGCAAATATAACTTAGGTTTCTGTTCCATGTAGAGATTTTGGAAGAAATTTTCAGATGTTCTGTTCCCTATAGAGGAGCTATTACAGGACCTTAAAAACACAGATCTGTGATTCCCTTTCAGAGATTCAAACCTTAAAGCAGTAAGTTAGTAGTTAAGTTGCTTTATGTGAATAGTTACACGGTATATTTTAGCAAAAACAACACAAAAACTAAGTCAGAAGTTCTTGTATAAAACTTTTCTATTGTCTTACATATTATAATGGTCTTCTCATTAATTCAGTGCCTTTTTCCTCTTAGACGCTCTTGCTCTATGCCTGAAGCAGTATCAGCTGATATGTAAGCCAGAGCATTATGTTAAAGAGATGAGGGCCTTCTGTTGCACGGGCAAGAGGAAAAGAATATTAATCAGGGGCTGGAGGAATGCATGTGATTGTTTCTTGTGCTCATGACATCATTTGAGACCTTACATCAACTTTTCTAATACTCATTGGGAAAATATATTAATTTCACTAAGAGATTTCATTTCTCAGAAGTTTTATAGTAATTAATATAAATTTAGTAAACCCAAAGTCCAAGTCTCAAAAAAAATGCCATACTTGGTATTAAACTGCACTGTTACTACTTAACAGTAAGAATCTGAGGTTTTCCCAGGTTTGCTTTAAAGAACAAAATGTATGGTTTGGTTTTTTTTTTTGGGGGTATTTTTTTGTTGCTTTTGTTTTTTAGTTCTGAGTTGTAACATTAAACATGAGAAAGTTTTTCATCCTCATTTCAAATTAAACAGTAGTCAAATATAGTGCCTATTTCAATTGTCTCAAAATAAGATGACTATTAACTTGATCATAATATATAACATTCTTACTAACATTTAATTTAAAAAATATTGAGCTCTGTTGCTCAATTTAATACATTGTGGGAAAGTAGATAAACCCTTTCAAACATTCACTATTGCTTTATTTTTATTTGGACAGGTCAAACATGATTGCTTTCTATAAGAAGGAAATGCATGAGAGGTTGACTATAATGTATCACAGGTGTAAAAAAATGATGTTTTATAAAAAAACATACATTTAGTATTGCATTTCTCTTTTAGCAGTTGAATTCCAAACCAGTTTTATTAAACTGGATGTAGAAATGAAGAAGCTGCCTTAAGCACTTTAGAAAAAGAATTTTTTAAAACACTTTTGGCTGACCGTGTCACATACGTCTCTAACTTTTGGTAAATATGTATATACCAAGCATTGAATAACTAATGGCACATAGAAATTTAGCATACAATGATTCTTTGACTGTTCCAGGTGCAGGTAAACAGAAGTATTAGGGGCATGCCTGTCTGCACATGGTTAATTATGGCATTTGTACCATTTTAACAGACCACTGACTGCTGCACAGTTGGACTTGGCCTGCTTACTCTGTCCTGCAAACAGTCATTTCCCCCCATGTTACATAAAGAGACATATCAGCTTGCTTTTATGTACTCATATACAAACTAAAGCATGAAACAGTATCATGTATAATTTCAATTTTTTTCTGACTGATCCTTGGTATAAATAATAAAAGTAAATACTTGTAATGAAATCTTTTAATTAGGCTAAGATAATCTACTTCATGACTTACCTGGAATGATTAGTTTTTCTTTCTCTACTTTCTTCATAATATTATAGTAACACATTTTCATTTCTTTCTTTTGGAAAGTTAGGAAAGAAAAACTGGGAAAGATATATATTTGAAAAATGATTATGAAATATTATTTCAGAAGAGAATAATGTAGACTTCTTACTATAAAATATAAAACTCTAGGGACCAGCAGGTGGCATGGTGGTTATGGTGCTGGACTCTCATATGGCCGACCACAGTTCGAGACCCGGGCCTCGCAGCTTGAAAATCACACCAGGCACATGTGTGTGCCCAGAATCCCAAGAGAAGACTGGAGGAGAAGGAATTGCAGTGTGGCCATCCCTCCTGAGGGGTGAGTTCTCACTTTCCCTCTCACTGTCTCCAGAGAGTAAATATGCCCTAAAGCAAAAACATTTAAAAAAAAAAACTAAGCCAAAAAATTGACTATATTTTCAAGTCATTATAATTCTTTTTTAAAAAACTATATTTGTTAAATTGGTGTTTATTCATTGGCTAATTCATACAACAAATATTTGAGTATCTATGATACACCTGTCAAAATATGATTACTTTGTATACACCTTTGCAAAACTAATGTGCATATATTAACAATTTTGCTGCATTTGAGTAGTTTGACAGAATTTATGTTAAAAATGCTTTGCTAATCAGATTTTAAAAAGTAAATTTGTTACAGTTTATAAAAAAATTTCAAATTAACAGCATTATAATATGGTTCATTTTTATATAGCACATAAAATGAATCTAGAAAAGTTTCTTCCTTGATTTTTCTTTTACACTGGATGTATTCTTTTAGGTAAGTGTACAGTGAGCATACATTTACTAATAGCTAGTAAACCGTAAACTAACTTGTTCTTTTTAACCAAAATGTACATTTCATAATGCCAGCACTGGAGCATTATAAGAGATCATGAATGTCTTCTTAATTATCACAGAAAGATTACCTCATGTTCGGTATCATTTTAGTTATGAGTGTATCTTACAGTGTTTACATTCTGTAATTATTTGTGATCCTGATATGTCACATATGATAGCATTGTTACCTGGAATATTTGATGAACCCAGCATTTTGAATTATTGATTGGTTTAAATGTTTAAATTGTTTTTATTGAAATACTGTTGGACATGCCATGTAAAGGTTAGTATTGGCTTATAAATACCAAAAGTTGCCAAAGTACTTTCTTCCCCAGACTGCCCAATTATTAAACAGTATTTGTTACATCTTGGTCAATATGGGTACTCGCTTTTGATTCATAAGCACCTAAGTTATATTAATTTAAACTTACATTCTTGTTTCCTCAGTGGTACCCATTCTATATAAGTTGGTCCTTGAGAATGAACATATAGAGGATTTTATATTATGTAGGTGAGAGGGTAGGTGAATGTGTTTGGTATGACTTGGAGCTTTCTAAGTTTGGGCAAATTTAGGATAAATCAATTATATGTGATTGAGAAAGGATATTTTATTAGTATTAGAACTTTCTGGAGAAAATAAGGGCTACAAGAATGCATACTTTAAAAAAATTTTTTCCAATTTCTCTAAAGTACCAAAGCACTGAGTCTAATTTACCTTTAAAAGGAGACTCTTTAAAATCAAATTTATAACTAATGCGTACTGTAAAGTATATAATAGCCAAGGTTTGGGAGTCATTTCTATTAAAAGCCACTGGTCTTTAAAATCTCTGGATATGATATAAAAGAAGATTTTGGCTTAATTTCTTTTCAAGTATTTACATCAGTCCTCTTAGCTCTACCATATACCAGATCTATGACCTCTACATAATCATCTATCCTGTTAGGGCCTCTATTGCCTTATTTATAAAATAATTATAACCTGTTCAGCCTACCTCACAGGGCTGTTGTGAGGAATAAAGTGAAATGGAGTATGTGAAATTGCTTCAACAACAGTGAAGTGCTATGTGAAATGGAAGGTGTTATTTTTAGTTAATATAATGGATTTGGGTGTTTGGGTACTTCCAAATGCCATTTACAGTACTTTGATAAAACGTGCTAAAAGTGGTATCACCAGTGATTTCAAAAAGAATAGGAGGCCCTGTTAAAATAACCTCTAGTATTCATTTAGTGTGTTCATGACCTCTAACCTTTTTGTTACTCTATTTCAACACATTCTAGATCTGTAAATTTTCTCCCACAACATTATTGTCACTGTAAAATAGTAACATAAATAAACTAAGCTATGTTTCCATCCCAGCATTTGCACTTTTAATGTAAGACTGCTCAGTGCCATGTGCAAAGACTGAACTTGGCCTAAGTAATTCTTTCCAAATGGTCTAGTAGTTTGTTGTCACTGGATAAATGATATAAGGTGTGCCCACTGAACATCAGGTAATTCAGTTGCATTGTCTTTTTTTTTAATAAGCTAAAGTTTTTCAGAGCCTTGTTAACCTAGACAGCATTTAGTATCTTTCCTGACATACCGTTTTGCTTTAAAATTGAGTTTTTAAATGGTGTACAGGCTATCCTAATCTACAAATTTGATATGTCTGTTATCCGGACATGGTTTTGCTATGCAGTTGTGATAATAAAAATTCTAATTCCTCAGGTTTAACCTTTAAGTTATGGAAGAAGAACATTACTGAACTTATGGTATACTGAGTGCTGCAAAATAGTGTTTTAATAAGCACACTGCCTCATTTTCCTTAGAAACAACACAAAGCCTTTGAAATTTTTTTAAACTTTAAAATAGGTATTCAAAGTGAAGTAAATTGTATGTTGAAATGATTGTTGTTCTGTATAGAATGTCTGAGTTAAGTTTCTACAAAAGCACCTGGAATAAATAAAAATCAAAAATTAAACATTTTTTCTGCTTTTTTCTTTAGTATTTTATCAATTCTTTTATTTAAATATCTACAATATGCTGTTGAAAGTGAGAAATTTTTTAAATAACTATTTTAACTTATTTATTTTTGGAATGAGGTGGTAGACTTTTACTTTGAGACAGGATTACTTAGCAGCTTCTCTATGATGCGTGGATTATAGGCAGTATGCCCTTCAGAGGTAGAGGTTTTGAATACACTCACCAGGAACATAAAATAAGAGCCACGCATATAAACATAAAGGTAACGATTATATAAACTAGCTGGATCCTCAGATAAAATTAAAGCAGCTTTTCAAATATTCCCTACAAATTTTTTTTTTTTTGGAGAAGTTTTTGCTATAGGGCATGTGCACTCACCAGAAAGACAGAGACAGAGAGACAGACAGTGATAAATCACCCCCCAGGGGGGATGGCCACGCTGCAGTCCCTTCTCCATTCTCCTCTCGGGATCTTGGGCACGCATGCAAACGTGCCTGGTGTGAGTTTAAGCCACCAGGTCCGGGACTCAAACCGTGGTTGACCACATGGGAGTTCAGCAACATAGCCATTATGTTAACTGCTGGTCCCCTACAATATTTTTAAAGACAACCTTTTTTAGGTTACCTTGGGATAGGAAGTAACCACATTTGAATGAGTTAAGCTGCAAAAAATAAAAGGGCCACAAAGTTTATTAAATGTAAATGTAATATAATATGTACAGATAGCATATTGTGCCAATTTTATTTGCAGGTATAATACTCTGACTCAAGTTTATAAGTTACACCTTGGCCACAGCCTTGGCTAAATCTTGAACTAGTGCAGAATTCATCTGTGCTAGAGTGCTGATCTTAGCATGCTTAAATGTGGCATGCTTATTCTTGATGGTCATGTGCTTTGTAAGCTCATGATTCACCTATCCTTAGCTAGGTGCTGCTTAACAGGAAGAAGTGATTCTTCAGTGTAAGACAGGTAATGCTGGAGAGTTTGTGTCCATTCACCATTATCAAGAATTTTCAGGG